TAAATTATATCTCTTAAAATTTTATTAATTTATCTCCTAAACTAAAATTTTGCGTTCGTCCTTTGTTCCATATGCATCATCAGATGACGGAAGTTCCATGCTGCTAATTAAAGGGTCAAACACCGGTGCTTAGTCTAATGACAGACAAGAAGCAATTCACGATGAATTGTATGAATGTGTTATTATATGGAATACCTTAACATTTAACCTGTTCTCTCTCTCTCTTTTATATATATATATAAATGGGACAAAATTCAATTACACCCGGTGTAAAACTTTTAGTTTTATATCTTTTTAGGATCGTTGGATAAGAGAAAGCAAAAATTGATATTAATAATAGGAAATGAGAATATATTCACTGAAAAGAAAAAAATGAGTTAATCTCAGCATTTGATATCCCTCATACAATAATCCTAAACATGTGTAAAACTAAGAGCTTTACACTGAGTGTAAGTGAATCCTAACTCTCTCTCTATATATATCAATCTCAGTCATCTATTTTCACTTATTCAACAGTCTTAAATATGTGTAAAATTAAAGAGTTTTTCATTGTCTAAATAAATCCTTTTATTTTAAGAATTAGTAGGTGGCCAAAGACGTGTGCTCCTACACAATTCATGGGGTACAAAATTCTTTGCGACTTTCAGCCTACATATTCCTTACTTAAATATACATAAACAAATATAGATTACAATACATCTAATAAACAATCACCAGCTATCATTAAAAAACAACAAAAATAACAGTTTTAGATTGTTTTTGAATGATTAATCAATTTATTAAACTTGGTGGGTATGCTAATTGTATGTTCATTACCATCACTTTCCAATATTCAAACTTATGCCACCCTGTCAACAAGTGTACACGAAATCTTCTTCTCCTATATAAACAACATTGAAGCCTGTTAGAGCACATTATTTGAACATAATCCCATCCAAAATGGAAACTAAACTTGCTTTATTTGTGTTATTCAGCTTGTCATTTTCAGTTTCACAAACCCTTTCTTCTGTACTCGCCAATGGAATAGACTATTGGTGCAACAAAACACCAAACCCTCAGCCTTGTAAGTATTTCATGCACCAAAAGCCCACAAATTTCGTGCCCAAAAACAAATCTGAGTTCCACAAAGTAACGGTCCAAATAGCCTTGGAACGTGCACTCAATGCTGAGAGTCATAACAAGTGACTCGGCAGGAAATGTCGAAACTACAAGGAGAAGGCTGCATGGGCTGATTGCTTGAAACTCTACCAACAAACCATTCTTCAACTCAACCAAACCTTAGACGCCACGGAATGCTCCGATTTCGACGAGCAAACATGGCTAAGTAGTGCTTTGACCAACCTTGAAACTTGTAGGGCGGGGTTCGTGGAGCTTGGAGTTTCTGATTATATGTTGCCCCTAACTATGTCCAACAATGTCTAAAAGCTAATAAGCAATGCTTTGGCTTTGAAAAGTAATGCATCATTTGTGCCGCAAACTTATCAACATGGCTTTCCTAGTTGGCCCAACCCCGGTGACAGAAAGCTGTTGCAGTCTTCTTCGCCAACACCAAACCTTGTGGTGGCTCAAGATGGGTCCGGCAACCATAGGACTATTAAGGAAGCACTTGATGCCGCTTCGAAAAGGAGCGGTGACGGTAGATTTGTGATACGAGTGAAAAGTGGGATTTACAAAGAAAACCTTGAGATTGGCAACAAGCTGAAGAATATTATGTTGATCGGAGATGGGTTGAGGAATACCATAATTACTGGCAGCCGGAGCATTGGAGGAGGTTCCACCACTTTTAACTCTGCAACTGTTTGTAAGAACAGTCAATTTAACTAAATCATTGCTATAAATTCAAAACTAATTAATCGAAAAAAATATTAATGCCGTGTTATGTATCCACCTTTCAGCGGTAACTGGTGAAGGGTTCATTGCCCGTGGCATAACATTCCGCAACACTGCAGGACCACAAAACCACCAAGCGGTTGCCTTGAGATCAGGCTCTGATCTTTCTGTCTTCTACCGCTGCGGCTTCGAGGGATACCAAGATACACTCTATGCTCATTCTCAACGACAGTTCTACAAAGAATGTTACATATATGGCACCGTAGACTTCATTTTTGGAAATGCAGCTGCGGTTTTGCAGAACTGCATGATATATGCAAGGAGGCCAATGGATAAGCAAAAGAATATTGTTACTGCCCAAGGCAGGACCGACCCGAACCAAAATACTGGCATCGTAATCCATAATTCACGAGTAATGGCAGCCGCCGACCTTGCCCCAGTCTTAATTCATTCAAAACGTTCTTGGGACGTCCATGGAAGGAGTACTCACGTACAGTTTTCATGCAAACTTACCTTGATTCCTTGGTGGATCCTGCTGGTTGGCTTGAATGGATGGTGACTTTGCTCTAAGTACCTTGTATTATGGAGAGTACAGAAATATCGGCCCTGCAGCTTCAACGAACAGAAGAGTGAAATGGGAAGGTTATCGAGTTATAACCAGTGCTACTGAAGCATCAAAGTTCACAGTGACCAACTTCATCGCCGGAACCTCATGGTTGCCAAGCGTAGGGATACCATTCACTCCTGGTCTTTGAGTTTGTCGTCTTCAATTTGTTCCATTGTTTTGTTCCTTCATTTCTGCCATGTCTTTGCCAGGAATTTCTCATGTCTCATACATACATAATGAACAAATCAATGGTTTTTTTTTTCTGCATCTCTCTGGAAATTCCAACTGTTATGGCAAGCTAAAAGGAATTAACCATAGAACAGTAATTTCTTTATTCAAAATTCAATTCAAGAGCTAGACTATTGCAAAGCAAGACTGCCAGGGGTATTCCAGCATAAGTCAATCCCAGATTGTCCTCCATGATCAACCCACTAATCTTAGCTGGTGGATCTGCAATTTGGTGCAAACCTGGCAACTCGTTGAAAGCCATTTTGGACATTGTATCCGCCACCCGACTAGCCAGCCCCTCGGTAAACATGATAAATGTGCACCTCCCATGGTATTTACTATACATGATACAAGTGAATACTCTATCCGTCCATCCTTCCGATGCTGAGAAAGCATGAACCAGCAATCAACAAAACAAATCGTGCTAACCAAATGAAAATGGTAAAGGAAGAGAAGAAAGCATATCTTCAACTTGCAGAGAAGAAGATTCGTCAATTTTACAAAGTATAACAGCTTCCTCCGTCGAATCTTCTGTCATTAAAACTCCATACAAGCATCTCATAAATCAGCATTCACTGCTTGCTTCCTGGAAGTAAATAATGTTGAATGACTAACCAAAATACAGTACTTGTTTTCAGCAGTCTCACACATCATAACCTTCCGGGGCCGATATCCACTTGCAAGGTTGAAAATCTACACCGTTGCAGAGCACAAAAACAGACGATACAAAGTGCAGGTTTAGCACAGCCACCACTCTGCATCATACATTAGTAAACAATAAGAACTGCCAGTGATTCTTCAATCTCTTCAGGTTATATCAGCTTCTACATTATGGTGGGTCAAACTATTAGTTACAAGTTCAAGAACGATTGTCACCATACCCTCTAGGGATGAGTATTAGATCAAGTTGAGTTAAAATGAGTAAAGAAATTTAGTCAAGATGATAAGTATTATTTTATCATTCAAACTTTATTTGAATTTTTTTCGAGTTGAGTTTATAAATTCGAGTCGAATTAAATATATTTGTTCAAATGTCTGTTCAAATCTAATTGCAATTATTTATAATATCATGGTATTGATTCATTCCAATTTAAATTACTCTCTCTAACCATATTCGATATGTATATACATTTATTCATATTCTTTTTCACATGTCTAAGTAAGATTTGTAATATTATTTAATAAATCAAATATGTAAAATTATATAATGTAATTTTATTTTTTAAAATGGATTTTGAAGGCAACATATTGGTGGGAGTATAAAAGAACCAAATACCTGATAGGAAGAAAGAATTTGCAAAGAGTTGTCGTAAGTTAACCAAATTGAATAAAATGCATAGTTGAACGGCTAAATTAAAAAAAATAGCAAATTTGTTGTCAAGAAGAGGAATTGATGTTACACAAGTATTCTACAGTGATCGGGAGCGTGTGATTCAAATTAAGTTAAAAATAGATTTCAAATGAAAGAGACATGGAAGAAACAAGGAAATTAGATACTAAATCACAAACTAATCAAATTGTTTAGTTAAACACCAAAAACGACATAGTTTTGTTGTTCATTTTTCAAACTTTTTAAATTCAAACATGACTCGAACTCGAAATTTGAACCATTAATTCAAATTTACTTGAAAAACTCGAATAAATACCTAGAAATTCAAAAATATTGATTTTTTTCGGGTCGAACCGAATTTTACTCACCTCTATTGCGATCAACAGATATTTCACTAAGTTAAGCATCAAGATCCTTAATATTTAAATGCAACATTCATTTCGGATTACCTGTAAGTTTGACAATACTAGGAATCTGGGAAAAACATATCGACGAAGTATGAACTTTTCTGTCTGTCAATATTTTAACTCCCCCTTTGCTTTTCAGGGCTGCAACAAAGGTGGTTATAGAGATTAGCAAATCCACAAGAATTTGAAAACATTAAAGATTATATAAGATAAAAACATTATGGAAAACAAGATAATCCACCGTAAGAAACATTCCGTTCTATATGAATCAACACCTAATGCGTCTTCAATATTACCCATTGGCACTGAGCCAATGATATCTTCAGCCACAGAAACAGAGACTAGAATTAGAGCTGATAGTAATAATGAAACCCTGGATGGAATATTCAGAAGCCCTTGCTTAGGCATCTATTCAACATTGGCAAACAAACCTCTTTGTTCCAGATGCCAGCAGAAGAGAGGAATTAATAATTTAATAGCAACCTTCCTTTCACCTGAAGATCATCTTGCTATATTTCAAATAAAAGAATAGATTAGAGGAGAATCATGCAGAAAAATGAAATAAAAATTTTAAGCAAAAAGGTTTGCTTACCAATTATATAATTTAAATAGGGATATCATTGTTTTCTGAATGTTTCGATTAAGAGCCTTTCTGTTGATCGATAAGGATACTTGCCCCGTTCAATCATTGTACCAAATACTATATAAGCTTCCCGCAATATCTGTTGTTCACATAAGATACAAAGCAACCAGTTATGATGATAGAGCCGTGGGTTCGGATGATAAACAAGCATCTCTTCAAATATCTTGAATGCAGGAATGCCCAAATAGTTGGCACAAAAATATCCCAGTAAAATTTCATAAAGACCCTTGCTAGGAATGAGCCTCCTCTTGTACATTGCATGTAAAATTGACAATGCTTCAAGTAATCTACCAGCCTGGCAAAGGCCTTTTACTAAAATGTGGTACACGACCCTATCCGGAGCACAACCATCTGCGTTCATTTTATTATATAAGCCTACGGCATGATCAATTTCACCAGCTTTAATGTGTCCACCCATAAGTACGGTAAAAGTCACTTGATTGGGATGCACTCCTTCTTTTTGCATCAATTCAAGATGATCATATGCATCCTTCATCCTATCTGTCTCAATAAATCCATAAATTATACCATTGTAGAGGTACAAATTTGGCATAAACTTCGTTTGTTTAACCTTCTGAATAAGCTTCAATGCAAAGTGTTTCATTGCTTCAGGAGAATCATCAGAAACTCTTAATTTCTTTTCTCTTGGCAGGAGAGATTGACGGTGGAGCAATTGGAACAACATTTCTCTTGCTCTTTCAGACCTTCTGCCTGTAGAGCGCCATCTTTTCCTCCTGGTGATGCTTCTGCAAAAACCACTGACCAGTGTAACATAAGAGATAAAATCACGTTCGATCTGGTTTCTGTCCATCAAATCAACTAATCTAAAAGCAAATTCAAACTCTCCCTTCTGCAAGAAAGTGTGGATGAGAGAGGTATACAGTACGGCATTTGGCACAAGACCATCATTCAACATCTTATCAAGATACATACATCCCTTATCAGTCATGTCTTTCTTCACTAATCCACTAATAAGAGCAGTGTAAGAATAAGATGTTGGCCTAATAGCATCCTCTATCATTTTATCAAATAGTTGATGGGCTTCAATTACTCTTCCTGTCATTGAATAGCCATTAATCATTTTCATATAAACAACCTCATCAGGATTCACACCAGACTCAAGCATCCTTATGAACATATTTTCAGCCTCAAACATCCTTTTTTGTCGGCAAAGAGAACCTATAATGCAATCGTAAATAGAAACACTAGGTTTCATTCCCCTGTCCTCCATTTGGTTTAGGATATCCAAAGCCGGTGCCAAATCCCCACGCTTACAGTGTTCATTTATTCTTATCAAATAAGTTGCTTGGTCTGGAAAGATACCTTGGTCTCGCAGAAAATCGAGTAGTGATTTAGCATCCTCAAAAAGACCCTTCTGGGAAAGACACTTCACCAAGGAATTATAAGTAAAAAGCAGAAGTGTGCATCCTAGATTCATCATTTTTTCCATGAAATGCAAAGCACTATCCAATTTTGATTCCTCACACAAGGCACTTATAAGTATATTGAATGCAACACTGACTAGACGCAAGTCACTTTTCAAGATCTCGTCAATCAAAAACTCAATCTTTTGGTCCAAGTCTTCGTGAGCTGAAACCGGAAGTAATAATGGATCAAGCCCACACCCATTTAGGGCTATTGCCTTCAGAATCATAAAAGCAATGCGAAGTTCATACCCCTTAGGGTACATCTTCATGAGTTTGAAGAACAAAACATGGTCTGGAACAAGCCCACCACTCAGCATGCTTTTATACAGTTCCTCTGCTTCCATTACCCTATTTTCCTTATATAAGGAAGTGATTAGAACTGTGTAAGAATGGACATTAGGAGCTAAATTATTGCTAATCATGCTATTCAGAAGCATAGAAGCACAATCAACCTTTCCTTCCCTGCAATAATTACTTATCATAACATGATATGTCACAACACACGGCTGCAGTCCGTGCTTCACCATCTGGTTATATAACGCCCAACCCTGATCAAACAAACCCATCTTAACAAACCCATGGATCAACGTGTTATAAGTATATCTATCCAGCTCACATCCTGTCTTGAGCATTCTTAAGTAAACTCTCATGGCCATTTTCATCTTCCTATCCTTACAGTATACATTCATCAATGAAGTGTACATCGTCTTATCCACAAAGAAACCCAATGACTCCATTTCTCCAAACAAAGACTCGGCCTCCATAACCCACCCTTGTTTGCAAAGACCATAAAACAAAGACTTGTACAAACAAAGGGTAGGTAACAATCCTGTTCTTTCGGGCATTAAACCAAACATCTCAACTGCTTCTTGTAAGTACCCTTTTTGGCATAGTCCGTCGATCAACACTTCATAACTCCGGTTACCCAAATTAACATTGATATTGTTCATTTTAACAAAGTAATCAAATGCATCCAAAAATCTTTCGTGCGAGAAAAGTAGCCTAACGAGAGCATTAAAGGCAGGTTTTCCACAAGAACCGTCAGTTATAAGCCGATCAAAAAGCACAGTGGCTTCCTCTAATTTCCCTAACTTACATAGGCAAATGACTATAGAATTAGCAATGGAGGTGTCAGGAATGATACCTCTACCGATAATGCAATCGGAGTAAAGAGAGTAGGCCAATTGGTGATGCCCCGATTGCTCAAGCTTTTTAATGAGAGCAACGAAAGAGGATAAATCAAGGTCCAAGCCCTGGGCAGTGACGAAATGAAGGGCTGATAATGCATCAGAGACGGAAGAAGATTGAGAGATGATGCGTTGGAAGAGTTTTTGAGCAGAGGATAGCAATCCACGATTGATGAGTTGGTCAGTGAAGGCGAGGCAAAGGGAAAATCGGTCGGTGGGGATGGATGAAACGGTGGGATCTAGAGGAAGAGCAGCTGAGGTGGTTACTGTTCTGGTTTTGAAGAACAAGTGGCGTGAAACAAGTCTTTTACCTGTCATGTTCAGAAGCAGCGGATAGACATATGAAAATTTTGTTTAAGAAGTATTAGTAAGGAGGAGAAAGTAGAAATTGCTTTGAAGGTCTGGTATTGTTAGTGGGGTTGGTCCACAGAGACTAGAAAGGCATAAACAACAAGGTTTTTTATTTTCACGATCCCTTCTGGTTTTGGAACGTGGATGAGAGGAGCATCCAAAGGTCGACTCTCAGTTGAGTTTTGTCCAAAACCCTGGTGTTGACCCAAAAAAGACAATAGGGGCTTTCGATGGTTGGATTGGAAAACGTTTTGGGAAAATTCCCTATTTGGTCACTCACATCAACCATTAATCACTCTAGACAATCAGCTTTGATTTAGAGCCAAGCAGCATCCTTAAGAACGTTAGAAGCACAAAATGGCCAAATGATAAACGTTTTGAGCAATCGTCTATGAGGTGCGTTATTCAGCGATTGAAGTCGTCCGACGAAAGGGTAATCAAAATTGTAAGCATATTGTATTGGGAAGTGATAAACAACTTAATGTGGACGAATCGAAAAAAGTTGAGAAGTTGGTGCCACAACAAAAAAGGAGTTTGAAGATAAAGACGTTGAGATAGGTGTTAAAAATTCGAAGTGTGTTTTCAATGAAAATAAAGTTACAACGGCTACGAATAAAGAAGTTTTGATCAAAAAGAAGGTGGATGTTGAATACAAACATTTCTCACTTTTTCTATGAAGACTCCAAAAGAATAAACAAGATCAACAGGATACTAGATTTATTTATATGGCACAACAGATGCATATCAATGTTCGTCTTATGGATACGTCAGAGAAAATGTCGTATTATGCAAAATTCACGAAGGATATATCTGGCGTATAATTGCTCCTTTCTTAAGGTATTTAGAACAGACCTCAAGTGTTTTTCATGATCCTCCAGCGATCGGCTATAAATCAAAATATCATCAAAATAAACAACACAAAACTACTAATGTAAGGTCTATAGACATGATTCATTAACCTCATGAAAGTTCTGGGAGCATTGGTTAACCCGAATGACATAATTATCCACTCATACAAACCTTTTTAGTTTTAAACGCGATTTTTGATTTGTAACCTTCTCGCATTTTGGTTTGGTGATATCCACTCTTGAGATCGATCTTCGAGAAGATGCTTACTCCAGCCAATTCATCTAACATGTCATCTAGGTGAGGTATAAGATATCGATACTTGGTTGTGACTTGGTTGACCACTTGACAATCTACACACATTGTAACACTCATCTCCCGTATACCTTTCTATACACGAGATATAAATGTCACATCACTTTTAAAACAATTCCTCATTTGAAAACCCATAAAAATTGTTTCTTTTTATAAAACATTTTTAATTTACTAAAATGCTTAAACTTGGATTAACTTAAGTAGATAAACAAAAAGTAATGTTCAAAATATTTCACCATTTTCATCATGGTACATCAAATGCTTTTCAGAGTGTTTTTACTAAATATATTTCAAGCCAACTAAATACATCGAAAAGTAGACAAAAATGTCATATTGTTACTGACGAGGCGACCCTTGTTTTGATGTCCAATGATCTCCTTACTCTGCTTGTAGTAAAACCTACACGTGAAATTAACACAAGCTAAGAAATTTTCTTAGTGAGGCATAAATAATCATAATCAAAATTCTTCCTACTTCAAGCCTATAGTATCGATACTTCCCAGCTGATTCTTCCTATTTCAAGCCTATAGTATCGATACCGTTCTATCAGAATTGATACCCATACTCAGATTTTCCATTTTCAGCCCGATTCTTACCCAAATTTGGTCAAATTTCCTTATGTTTACCTCCCACAATACTATCAAACTCTTCTTTACTTATCCCAACTAATTTTCCTTCATTTAGCTACTTATAACATTCACAATCTCAAAAGAACCTTTTAATCTAAGAATCACACCACATTTTCTAACATGTTTTTAAACCAATCCAATGCTTCTAATTTTTCATTTACTTCTTTGACAAGTCAAATATACTAATAAAAATGACTAAAAACTCATATCATAACATATCAATCCAAAACCCATTTTCTTAAATCTCTAATATTTCATCCATATCTTTGTTTTAATCCTATTTAACCCTTCCTTGAGCTTACATATCACTTAAGGTTGCAAAAACAACCCATAATCGAAAGGAAAAACTAATTAATTGAAGTTTACCTTTAGAGCTATGGAGGAGAGCACAAAGCCACGAGAAAGAAGAATAAGAAGAATATATAGCTTGTTGACTTACTTTCCTCTTTTTCCCTTATAAAATCCCTAATAAGAACATACTTTTAAATTCATTTCCCCTTAAAGGACCAAAATTCCATCTTCACTCATCTATTATTACAAAATAGTCTAAACCTTATTCCAAATCATTTTCTCATCTTTTATCAACTATTCAAATAAATCCTCAAATTTTAATTCTTTTTAATATAGTTCTAATTCAATATTTGGGGCATTACAATTCCCCCTTAAGAAAATTCATCCTCGAATTTAAAGAAGTACCTGAAATGAAGAGGTATGGAAACTGCTTCCTCATGTCCTCCTATCTTTTCCAATTAGCTTCTTCTACCCTATGATTCTGCCAAAGCACTTTAACCAACAATTTTTTTTACGTAATTCCTTGGTTTCCTTAGTCAAGATTCGCACTAGTGCTTCCTCATAAGTTAAATTTGGTCAGATCTCTATTTTTTCAGGAGTGATAACATGGGATGGATCCGATCTGTACCTTCTAAGCATCGATACGTGGAAAACATTATGGATCTTGTCCATATCTGGAGGTAAAACTTATTGATAAGCTACGGGCCCAACCTTTTTTAATATCTCATACGGTCCAATGAATCTCAGACTCAGCTTTTATTTTCGCCCAAAACGTATACCTTCTTCCAAAGCGACACTTTCAAAAATACTTTGTCTCCCTATTAAAATTCGATTTATTTTCTTTTCAAATCAGCATATGACTTCTGGCGATCTAAGGCTATCTTTATACTACTCTGGATAATTTTCATTTTTTTCTCCATATCTTTCATCAAATCCGGGCCAACCAGGTCTCAATCTTTTAGTTTAAACCAATTTAATGGTGTTCTACACTTCCTCCCTACAAAGTTTCATATAGGTCCATTTTAATACTCGATTGATAACTATTTTTATACGTAAATTCCGTTAAAGGCAAATACATTTCCCATGATCATTTAAATTCAATCACACATGCCCTTAGCATATCTTCTAATATCTGAATAGCTCGTTCTGACTGCCCATCTGTCTGCGGGAAAAGCTGTACTAAAGTTCAATCGAATACCCAATGAATCATGTAAAGACTTCCAAAATCTTGAAGTAAACCTTGGGTCTCGATCGGACACTATCGACATAAGCACTCCATGCAGTATAACTATCTTTTTTATATATAACTCCACACACTTATCCATCGAGTTATCTACTCGAACTGTAATAAAATGAGCTGTCTTGGTCAATCAATCTATAATTACCCATATCGAGTCCTTTTTACTTGGTAACAAATGTAGCCCTAAAACAAAATCCAATGTAACTCCTTCCCACTTCCACTCAGGAATAGTTATTAGCTGCAGTAATCCGGAAGGCACTTTATGCTCAGCTTTCACTTGCTGACATGTCAAACATTTTGCAACAAACTCTGTTACAACTCTTTTCGTACCAGGCCACCAATAACGACTCTTCAAGTCCTAATACATCTTATTCCCACCTGGGTGCATCGTCTAAGGGCTATAATATGCCTTGCAAAGAATATCTTTCCTCAATTCATCATCCTCGGGAATGCAAAGTCTTCCACGGTAATATAACTATCCATTATCTCTCATTTCGAAATCTTTTGCCTCTTCTTTTTCGACTTGCGCTAATCTCATCAAGCATTTCTCATCTCGACCATACAACTCTTTTACCCGATCCAAAAGCATCGACTTTAACTTTAATTCAGCAATCAAAGCACCATCTTCCTTTAAAGACAAACATGCATCTAAAGCCTTTAAAGCTGCAAAAGTCTTTCGACTGAGCGCATCAGCTACCACATTAGCCTTTACCGGATGATAGTCAATAATCAAATCATAATCTTTTAAGAGCTCAATCCATATTCTCTGTCTCAAATTTAGCTCTTTCCAAGTCAACAAATACTTTAGACTTTTCTGATCCGTATAAACATAGCAACGATCACCGTACAGATAATGGCACAAAAATTTCAAAGTAAACACTACTGCGACCAACTCTAAGTCATGCGTCGGGTAATTTCTCTCATGGTTCTTCAGCTGTCTTGAGGCATAAGCCATCAATTTCCCTTCTTACATCAGCACAAATCCCAGTCCATTATGGGACGCATCACTGAAAACAACATATCTTTTCCTGTTTCAGGTTGCACAAGAACTGGAGCCTCCGTTACTATTCTTTTTACCATTTCAAAACTTTCCTGGCATTTTTCCATCCAAACAAAAGGCACATCCTTTCGTAACAATTTAGTTAGCGTCAGAGCTAACATTGAGAAGTTCTTCATAAACCGCCTATAATAACCAGCAAGCCCCAAGAAACTTTGAACTTCTGAAATATTCTTTGGGGGTTGCCAATTCACTATGGCTTGAATCTTTTTAGGATCTACTTTTATTCTTTCTGTAGAGACTATATGACCAATAAAAACAATCTCAGCTAACCAAAATTCGTATTTGGACAGTTTTATATACAACTTCTTTTCACGAAGTATCTGAATAACTACTCGAAGATGAGCATCATGTTCCTCTCTTGACTTGGAGTATACCACAACAAATTGATCCAAGTAAGGTTGGAATACTCTGTTCATCAAGTCCATAAATGTTGCAGGAGCATTAGTCAATCCAAATGGCATTACCACAAATTCATAATGTCCGTACCGAGTCTGAAAAGTCGTCTTAGAAATATTCTTCTTTTCGATCTCTAATTGATGGTAACTCGGCCTCAGATCTATCTTAGAGAACACTGACGTGCCTTTCAATTGATCAAACATGTCATCAATCCTCGGAAGAGGATACTTATTCTTTATCGTAACTTTATTTAGTTGACGATAGTCAATACATAACCACATAGACCCGTCCTTCTTTTTCACAAACAACACGGGTGCTCCCCAAGGAGAAACACTGGGTCTGATAAATCCTTTTTCAAG